CTATGCATGGGCTAACAAGACTTAGCTATGTGAGCCTAAATTTAGTGTGCATTAATGTGTCTACATGTAGGCATGCACCTAAATTGCCTTAATGCACCTTAAACAAAGATGCATTAAGTTTAGGCGCATGCAACTGCACGTGTAGACACGCCCAGGTCGTCAAAAGTCTCCGCTACATGGACTTGAATAACAGGCAGTGAGAAGTATCTGAGCATGCAGGGATGAGGATGCTAAGAATATTCCACCGAGAGTGAGCCCTGAAGAGAATGACACTGGTTGCGAGGAGTGCTGCCAAAAGAGCCACAGAGTCCAGGCTGGTATGGGTAGGGCATGTCTTGCAGAGTGAAGGAGAAAATTGGATGAGTGAATGATGGAGGTGAAAGCTAAAGGGAACCCCCCTCCCACCTGTGGCTCGGTCCCAGGGCTCACCCCACCTGCCCCCTCTAAAGCGCGCAGGCAGGGGGCAGGGCCCTGAGAGCCCAAAGGCCATCCGCACTCCCCAGGCCTGGCTCAACCAGGCCATACCCCGCACCAGGTGCCCCTGTGCCCAGCTGCCCGGATGCAGGGCTGAGCCAGAGGCACCTTTCGTGTCCAGCTCAGTCAGCGGCCCCAGGACGCCTTTTTTCTTGTCAGCAGCTGCAGCCACACGGGCTCCGTCCTTCTGCTCCTCCAGCAGGTCCTCCTGGGCCCAGCGCTGCGAGTAGTGCTTCCCCAGGGGCGGGATCTGCAACAGAAGTCTTGTGAGCAGCGCACAACTGGGCAGCCCTGAGCCGCCTTCCACTCCCGGGGAACATGGCCTCAGGGAGGCGCCCCACCCCACGGCCCAGGGTGCGGCTTGCCAGGCTCCCAGCACATCTGCAGGCTCAGGGAGGGGCCGCTTTAGTGTCCCTGCCTCACTGCCTCCAGACTGAGGGTGCCCATCACAGGCACGGCCAAGCGCCCGCTGCACCCAGAGCTTTGCACCGTGCCCGGCCCCAGGCTGCTGACAAGGGGCTGCTCCGGGGCCCCGGCCTTGCCCCCATGCGTCCGACCATGCCAGGAGCCTGCGATGAGTACCCTGCAGGGTTGCCTCCAGCTCCTACCCCGTGCTCCCTTGTGCTCTCCTGCCACCACCCAGCCAGAAGCTAACGGTGGAGTTGGGAGCCCTACGGGGTGGCAGAAACCGCTCGCTTGGTCGTGAGACCCGGCCCCTGCCTGCTGCCAACATGTGGGCATCCTTTGGCGCCCGAGATGCCGTTCAGCGCCCGGTGTAAGGGCAGAGAATGCCTCCTCCTGGCCGCCGGGTTGGACGCTCAGACCCACAACAGGCTTTCCCCAGGGCCAACAGAGCAGCGGGAGGGACAGGATCGGCTCAGCAGTGCCTCGCTGCAGCCCCCGCTCTCCCCCAGCCGGGCTCGGCTCAGGGCCTGCACCCACTGTGGGGCAGCGTGCAGGGCATGAGCACAGCAGCAGCCCCAGGCACAGCTGGGCCCCGCGGGCGCTCACCTTGTAGTGGTCAGCCTCGTCCTCGGGCGGCTTGAGCAGCTCCTCCAGGACGCGCAGCTCCTCGTTGGTGAGGTCGGCGCAGTACGGCTCCACCGAGTTCCAGAACCTGCGGGGACAGAGCGGTGCTGCGAGGGGGCCGGGCCGGGCCACAGCCCCGGGCAGGGCCGGGCCGGGCCGGGCCGG